GAGAGAGAGAGAGAGAGAGAGAGAGAGAGAGAGAGAGAGAGAGAGAGAGAGAGAGAGAGAGAGAGAGAGAGAGAGCATTTGTGTGCCTTCCACTCTCAGCATATGGGAACTGTAGTGTCCTGTGAAGTAAACGTTGTATCACTTTTGAGATACATCCTCTCTTCAACACCTGCATGATTAGCATGTCAGGCACGTCTCCCTCAATCCTGTCTTCACCTGTGTGATTAGCATGTCACCTTTATGCATGCCCCTCTTGTCTTCCACACCTGTCTTATTGTCATGTATCTCGTCCATGCTTTCCTTCTGTGCTCCATTGTGAGTGAAACGGACTTGGCTTCATTTGGTGCTGTTTGAGGGAATGAGTGTGAGATGTGGATTGCAAAATCTGATTCATTGACATTTGACATGGCTTTGGATTCAAACCATCACCTTAATTGCCAGAAAGTGGTGTTCTGCGACAAGCCGGACCCCCCAAAAGTTGCTGCTTTGCGGGAGCGCTCGCTACGCTTGAGCAGGAAGAGATGGAACCCGGTCCTTCAAAAACACTGTGAGTAATAATAAGTTTTTTTAACTTTTTTTCTTTCTTTTTTGAAGTCTTTTCCCTTATTATTTGTTGGGTGGATAGAGTAAAACCAGGGTTCTCACTTCACTACTCTCGACTCTTGATTTTCCAAGAGTCCGCCCTCACTCCGCTTACTCTCAAACAACCCTTTGAAGAACTGTGAGACATCACCACGGAAGTCCCCTCCTGCGACTTTACATATTTCTTAGGGTCCTCAGCCGTCCTCTACAAACGGCCTCGTTTTTCAAGAGTGCACCTCCAGTTGGATAGGACACGCCAGACGTTTAGCTTTCGGGCAGTGCAGTCGGCTAGTGCTCTCGAAGTTCGAGAGTGCTGCCTTCAAGAGTAACTGGCGCGAAGACCGTATTTTGGAAATTTTCAAGCATCTGACAGCTCTCCAGGACTTTCGAGAGTCAGCAGTGGATCGAGACCCTAGTTCTTTTTTTTGGGGGGGAGGGGGCGGGGGGGGGGAGATGGTATCGTCAGAGTAAAAGTAGATCTGGACTTCTGAACTTCTTCCACCTCCAAGACCTGGGACACAGTCCCAGTAGAAGCGGGGCAAGACTTCTCACCGCCCATGTGATGACCCAAGCACACTTCGGCGCACGAGTAGCCGTCAATGGCAACTTATCGTACAGCGCGAAAAGCTTCCCAAATTTCCTAATTTGAGCTGATGCAAATGGCGCGTGAAAACGAAAAGAAAAATGGAGTCAAGTGAAGAGCTTCCCAAAATTTCCTAATTTGAGCTGATGCAAATGGCGCGTGAAAACGAAAAGAAATGGAGTCATGCATTGGTTGGGCTTTTTATTTTTGCTTTAGATAGTATATATCTACATGACTTCTCCCACCCATAAAACTTATGTCAGTCGAGATATGTCATGTTGAAAAACAAAAAGTGAAAAAGACACTGATTAACTGTTGACGTTTGGTGTGTCCAATTCTTGTGACATTGGACTAGGCAGTGACTGAGGTGCAGGATGTGCACGCCTAGCTCAGTTGGTACACCCACAAACTGTTGAAATACAGACCCAAGTGTGAATCCAGAACAATTAGATGACCAGATAAAAATCATTCTGAATTACCTGGGGCCGGTCAGTTCAATGATGATATCTCAAGGTCGTCGCCGTTCTTAAAGAAAGTGTTACGATCCTGGCTACTTCCAAAGTGCAAATTCACAAGGAAAGACAATGTCACCCAACTGCAAAGAAATGAAAGCACTTGCAAAGAGATAGACCAAAGAAGAAGAAGGAAGAAGAAAGAAAGAAGAAGAAGAAGAAGAGGAAGATGTACACCAGCAAGACAAATGACAAATCCCCCTTCTCACTCCACTTTCCTCCTCCTCCTTGTGTCCACCAATCTTATTCTTCTCCCAAATAATAATAATAACAATGAGTGGTTGACCAGAATCAATATCTGAAGTTCCCTGTCACTGCCAGCACCACAAGAGGTCCACCATAACCATAGCCTCCCTCTTCTTCTTCCTCACACAGGCCTAAGCTATGGAGGACTACTAAAGGCCCTGCCTCCTGTGCAAGAGACAACACAAAGCAGCTATGGCCACTGCTCTTCAGGCCGCCATGCCTGACTCCGCCTCGAAGCTTCGTTGGTGTGGCACTACCCCCACCGCGGCCTTCCAGATGCAGCGTTTAACAAGGTGATGAAGATGGTGTCCACCATAGCCAGGTAGGAACCTCACCACTCTCCTCCTTCGCTTCCTTCTTCCTCCTCCTCAAGATGGGCTGCTCATCATAGCCAGGCAGAGCGCCCAGCTCTCCTCCTTCCTCCCAGGCAGCGCTCTGAGAACCAGCGCCCGCTTGCATACTGCAAATGAGGTACAGTCCAGCACTCTACCTGGAGATATAGCGGCGTACTTGCCTCTTGGGTGGCGACTTCCAGGCCGCGTGGCCTCCAAGCAATCGGTACCTCCTCCCTTTTGGAAGGAATTTAAACATCATTGCAGGCTCTGATATCGTCCGCACAGGCCCTAGACTCAGGCTGCTTGGACTGGTACCCGCCTACCTCTGGCCTACCGCTACCAGACCTCTAAAAATGGCAACTTTTTGTCTTCGTCTGCTTGGCCTTCAGTTCCCAACACATCTACCACTACTTGAGTGGTACTGGCCTACCTGGTACTTGAGTGGTTTTCCCCCGCTGCAACCCTCAAAGTCACGGCCACAGCTAAGTACCGGCCCCGCGGGCCTCACAACACACAAGTGCACTGTCGGTCCACACGCACAGTCAGGCAGGCGTGCACTCAGACAGGCACACGGACCAGCAAGCACGCACACACACACACAGACTTAGCAAACTCAGCACAATGCGGGAATCTCAGCACGGCACACATTCCAGCGGCAAAACCCAGAAATTAGCAGTGTTCTCAGTCTGTGTTTTGGCGGGTCATTACAAGAGAGAAAAAAATAAAAGAGGTGCAGGATGTCCAGGCAGTTGGCTGGGGTAGATCCTTCAACTTGATGACAGCTGCATTGGTTGGGGGTGCCAAAGGATTGCGAGCTTATGAATTGAGCAGTTTTGTGCGCCGGCACTAAGAATGGCAACCTTCAGTTGATAGCCCAAACAAAATAATAATTTGCATTCACTATAAAATCTACAAAAATCAATGTATTTGGTTTTTATGTTCCACCGTGGGCCGGCGGGGGGGGACGGTTAGCATAGCATTATCTCATGCAGTGGCTAGTGGAACCTTGCCCCTGGTTACACTGCTTGCCATTTGCCACGATCCGGGGTGAAACTTGGTGAGCAAAAAAAACAGTCTACGTGGCAAGTCAGATGCAAGGCTAGACTAACTCACCAGAGCAGAAGGGTGCCAAGAACAGTCTAAAAATGTTCACCTCGTCTCCAGCAGTGAAGCCAAAATCCTCACCAAGATGTCGGTCTGTGGAGGGGTCCAAAGAACATCCCCCCACAAAATGGTTGTGACACGCGGGGACGTCGTCAAAGGCTGTCCGGGTGGGGAATCGAGTTTGGCAAAGATCCTGACACCTATATCTCACCATCAAGCGTAACCATGCACCTACTGGCAGTGAGCTCATGACCAAATGATTAACAGTTACATAGGTATGTGCCCATTCGGCCACAATGGACTGGGTACCCACTCATGTTCGTCTAGGCTCCTCGATGTTTCTCTGCCTGTGTGCCTGTCGGGACAAAGGTCCTCGCCAAACTGCCGACAAAACCAGACAATTGGCGAATGCATCTTCATGCAGAAGGTAGTAAGGTACGTACACTACTATGAATAGCAATGACTGTGTTGTTGTTTTTGTTTCCCCAAATGCTCCTATCTATTCGTGGGGGAGCAGCATGTGCGGGGAACCGGGCCGCACATGCTATGAAAGTTCATGAACCACTCCTAACTGCCAGTAGGTGCATGGTTACGCTTGATGGCCAAGCACTTGATGATACCTTTGAGGATACAGAAGCCATTACCCAGCTTCGATTGACAAATATTTCAGAAGAAGCTATGAAAGTTCATGAACCACTCCTAACTGTGGGGGTAGTGCCACACCAGGGAGGATACAGAAGCCATTACCCAGCTTCGATTAACAAGGTGATGAAGATGGTGTCCACCACTATAGCAGCAATTCCTATCCGTGAGTATGTCTTTTGGTACATAGTCGCTTCCCTTAACGATGATCTTAACCATGATCAGGATTACTTTTTTGATTTCATATATTCGTGAGTCCAATATTGGATATCTCAGATAGTTTTCCTAATCTTGTTTCTAAATTTCAATTCCAAAAGTTGTCTCAGATAGATTTCCTAATCTTGTTTCTAAATTTTCAATTTCTAAAAGTATGTTCTTACAAATTTTCTCAAAAAAAGTGCCAATCCTTTTGCTAAAAATTCTCAAACTACGGTTTGAGAATCGATTCGAAAATCCCTTTTGGGATATCCAAATCTATCATTCATAGATTTTTTTCCATTTGGTAAATAGAAGGTTTCTGAACTTGAATTCGAATTTCGTGTCTTGAGGAATTTTTGAGTGGGTACCCATTTCTTTTTCGCTGTTTGCGGACCAGGTGTTTTGAGGATGCGTGGTACCTGGGTTGGGGGGGGATGGTTTATGGCGGGTGAAACTGCGTCCTTCTGGTGAGGAGGGCTAGCTGGTGGGATTGGATTAGGGCATAGCCACAACTGAGATGGTGGCTTAGCTGTTATAAGTCTTGTCGGAGTGTGGTAAGAGGTTAGTGGGGTTGGTGCTGCGCTTATTAGGGTGAGGGCTTTCACCTGATATCTGTCATTCCTCCTCTCGCGAACTATGGGTGGAGGAGGTCGGCTCGTTGTGAGAGGTGGAATGTGTTGAGGAAGGTGTCCGTTGTGTGGTTGTGGCTGCTGTTCTCATCCCTCGAACTATGTGGTGGAGGAGGTCGACTCGTCGGGGGATGAAGAAGAGTAGGGGGTTGGAGGGAAGAGGGAGGATGGTTCCTTTGATTGTCGCTGGCTCGTTGAACCCATTCAATGGTTATTTTGGCGACTACTTTAAATTTATTCTTCTTTTTCGAACTATGTGGTGGAGGATGTCGTCTCGTCGAAGGAAGATGAATAGTTGAAGTCCGTTTTCAACCATTATGGGATTGGGTTAGGTTGTTTGTCTACTGTTTTTATCTTCCGAGCTATGTGGTGGAGGAGGTCGGCTCGTCGGAAGATGATGAAGAGTAGGGGGTCGTAGGGAAGAGGGAGGATGGTTTCTGATGGTTTCTGATGAAGTGTAGTGCTGCCCTTATTGAGGGAGGGTAAGGATTGGTGAGTTCACCTGATTTCTGCTATTCCTCATCTTGTGAACTATGGATGGAGGAGGTCGGCTCGTCGTGAGATGAGGAATAGTTGAGGAAGGTGTCCATTGTGTGGGTGCGGCTGTTGTTCTCATCCCACGAACTATGTGGTGGAGGAGGTCAGCTCGTCGGGCGATGAAGAAGAGTAGGGGGTTGGAGGAATAGGCCTCCAAAATTCTCCAGGCCACAAACTATGTGGTAGAGGAGTAGGGGGTTGGAGGAATAGGCCTCTGAAAAACCAGGGGTTCTGAGCATTCAGTAGTCTAGCAATAGGCCAGCAATTATCCATGTTT